GGCAGCTCAACTTTGAACAGTTTTCCTGTTACCGCTGCGAATTATCCTAAAGCTATCGAGCAGCTGAAAGAAAGATTTGGTAGAGAAGACCTTCTGGTGCAGATCTATGTAAGAGATTTGCTTGGGCTTGTTACAAAGAATGCTACAACAGGCAGAACGGCGTCGGACTTAGGAGTACTTTATGATAGTATAGAAAGTAAATTACGAGCGCTGGAAAGCTTAGGACGCACCAAGGAAAAGTTTGCTGATTTCTTGGGACCTTTAGTAGAGTCGTGCCTACCTGAGAATATTCTACGTGCCTGGGAGCGGAGTCGAACTTCTGAACAAGGACAGGAAAAGAGTAACGCTTGAAAAACTAATGTGTTTTTAAGGCATGAAGTAGAATCGGAAGAAATGATTCGATTAGCTCAATCAGGATTTACTCATTCTGTTAAGCGTGTTAATAAAAATGTTATTTCAGGTAATTCAGATTTAGCAACAGCTGCCGCGCTGGTACAAATGAAACCAGTAAAGGTAAGCAAAATGTTTGTATATTTTGTGGTAAGCCTCATATGAGTGCTAAGTGTTTTAAAGCTGAAACTATGAGCTTAAATGAAAAGAGGTAAATTGTACAAAAGAAAGGTGTTTGTTTTTCACTGTTTAAGAATTGGCCATTTAAAAAAACCAATGTAAAGCCAATATTAAATGCCCCATTTACAGTTGTGATCATATGAAAATTTATGTGTCCCTCAGAATGTTAGTTCTCGTAAAACAAAATGACTCTAATTGTTGGATGTTTCCCTTTCTAATAATAGTAAGAGCGAGAAAGTTTATTTGCAAACTTTTATGTGTTCTAATTAAAGTTAAAGAATCGAGAGAGAAAATTAGGATTCTTCTCGGATTCGAGATCTCCAAACGATCCTACGTTGGGGAGAAAATTATGAAGCGAATGAAGGCTGATCCTATTCGACAGGAGAAAGTAATTCATGGTTTGTTCGGGGGGAGGGGAAACTGCGCCTGTAACCATTCTGTTTTTGCTATTGACATAAGCAGTTTAGATAACACTTTTAGGTGTTGTTTTGAAGCTTTTTCTGAAAAAAAGATATGTGGATTTGTTCCAACAATCAAGAATGCTCAGATTATAGAGGAATTGAAAAGCAGGAAAATTGAGGTCAGTGACACATTTTGCGAGGAAAGTGAAATTGATTTATGATAGGTGCAGATGTCATTGGTAAACTGTTAACTGACGAATACCTAGAATTACCCTCTGGTTTAACTGCAGTCAAAACAAAACTGGGTTGGACGGTTATGGGTAAAGAAAAGGATACTGTCAGGGATAATGCCCTAATAAGTCTTTCCCTTACATGTAAATAATGCTTCTTTGGAAATCTTTATGGGAGCTTGAAGTTTTGGGTATTTCCGACCCGACGGAAAATAGTAAAACGAAAAATGTTCATTGCGACTACGAGATAGATTTTCAGAATAAATTATCTATTCGGCCCGAATGGTAGATATGAAATTAGAATTACCCTTGGAAATGCGAATCTACCAATTTATCAGATAATAAAAGCATTGATTTGACACGTCATCAAAAATGATTTAAGAGGGCAAAAGAAAATAATTCTTTGAAGGAATATCAAGAAGGTGTTTAGAGGAGTGGGAAAATTTAAATATTATAGAAAAGGTTCCGGAAAAGGAATTAAACAATAAATGCCACTTTTTACCACACAGACCGGTTATTAAGATGAAATAGTGAAAGCCACTAAGGTAAGACCCGTTTTTGATGCTTCATTCTTGTGAAAAGGGAAAACCATCTTTGAATCAGGTGTTTATTGAAAGGACCTAATTTAATAGAATTAGTCCTGATATTTTAGACAGAATGAGATTTTTTCCTATTGGTCTGAGTGCAGACATAGAGAAAGCATTCTTGCAGTTAGGAATTTCTCCGAAGGATAGAGATTACTTGCGATTTTTCTATCCAAGTGATGAGGGAGAAATAGTGTATAGGCATTGCAGAGTAGTTTTTGGGGTTTCCTGCAGCCCTTATCTACTAGGTGCGTCTATTAAATATCTCTTGAATAATTGTCCACCTGACTTTTTAGATGTGGCTGACAAATTAAAAAATTCGTTCTATGTAGATAATTGTATTACGGGTGTTTACAATATTGAGGGACAAGAGGATTTAATTCAAAAGGCCAAAAGTCTTATGTCAAGAGGCAGATTTAATTTAAGGGGATGGGAGAGCAATGTTGCTTCCAAATATACTACAAAACATTCTGGGGACACACCTCTTTTAGGAATATTGTGGAATTTAGACAATGATACTTTAAGGTGTAATATAAATGTAAATATGATAACTGTGATACTAAGGTAACTAAGAGACTGATTCTGTCTATTGTACAATCAATTTTTTGATCCAATTGGAATACTTGCACCAATAACTTTGCTTCCAAAACTTTTGTTACAAGAAACATGGAAGTTGAAATTTTCTTGGGACGAGGTATTGCCTCATGATTTTGTAAGTAAATTTTTTGTGTGGTTATCTGATATACTTTTGTTGAAAAATGTGGCAATACTCCCGATTCATTGGAAACCTTTGCAACAGTTGAATTGCATGTATTTGTCGATGCCTGCAAATATGCTTTATGCAGGATGCATTTTCGCGAGAAGTGTTGATTCATGCAGTGTAAAAATTACTCTCTTAAGGGTAATTTTTAGCACTTTTATTAATTTTTTAATTTTAGAGTAGCTCCTACTTTAATTTTAATATCTGACGATTCCTAGATTAGAATTAATGTCCTGTTGCATTGGATCCCGATTATTATATTCTGTTTGTAAAGCTCTTAATGATTTTTGATATAAATGTAACTTTATGGTGTGATTCCACAGTCGCATTATGGTGGATCAGAAATCCTGGTAATTGGTCGAACTTTGTAAGCAATCGTGTTAAAGAAATTACTAAGTTGACAAAACCTGAATCATGGAGGCATGTGCCTGGTAATATGAACCCAGCAGATGTGTTATCTCGAGGGTTGCTCTGCTAAACAAATGATTAACTCGGAGTGGTTTAAGGGACCTCTCTGGCTAAGAGAAAGCCCTGAATTTTGGCCTACGAATATTGTTTGTCAGCCGAGCGAAGCTGACTTGGAAAAGAGGGAAGGTAAAACTTATTAATGTTAACTTTTCAGAGGATACCACTCCTTGGTATGCAGAAAGAGTTTCTGATTATGAGAAAATGATTCGTGTAACGGTTGGGGGTTACGTTTTATTTCTAACTGTAGGAAGAAGTCAAATTTGTGTAAAGAATCTAAACTAACTGTTGCTGAAATCATAAATTCCGAAAAAGTTTTGATTCGGTTGGTTCAAAGCTCAAATTTCCCTGACATTGGAGCTCTTAATCCACTTGATGTATTCATTGATAATGAAAATATTATAAGAGTTAAAACTAGAATATTGGAACGCAAAGACAATTCTGGAATTTTTAACACCAATTTTGTACCGAGTAAATGTATCTTTACTACATTGTTAATTGAGTCAGTTCATAAGAAACATTGTCATGCTGGAACTCAAATGCTTCAATCTATTTTAAGAGAAAGATTCTGGATACTAAAACAACGTAAAACTGTGCGTAATGTGTTAAAAGGGTGTGTAATATGTCAACGATATAAAGCGAAACCGATGTCTTGCGAAGTGACTCTCTTTCCTGAAGATCGCGTAGGAGATTATAGGGCTTTTGAAATTTTGGGAGTAGATTTAGCTGGCCCATTGTTTTTTAAAGACGGTAAGAAGGTTTGGATGGCACTCTTCACATGCGCTGTGTACAGGGCAATCCATCTAGAACTGGTGACTTCGTTATCAACAGAATCTTTTCTTTTGGCTTTTAAGATGATTCATAGCCAGATGTGGCAGACCACGAACCATTTATTCTGACAATGGGACTAACTTCCGAGGAACGTATAACGAAATGTCTAAACTTAACTGGGACATAATAGAGAATGAGGCAAAAATAAAGAGAATAGTATGGAAATTCAATCCACCAACAGCCTCCTGGTGGGGAGGTTGGTGGGAACGGCTAGTTCGCATGGTTAAAGAACTTTTAAGACGTTCTTTGGGAAAATCGGTTTTATCTTATGAAGAACTGGAAACCTTAATTTGCGACTGTGAGTCGGTAATTAATTCTCGACCTTTAACATATATTTCGGAGAACTCTGAAGATGCTATCCCTTTAACTCCGTCAATGTTTTTAATTGAAAATTGTACTTCGAATGTAGCAGATATAGATAAAATTGACTCTCAGCATTTTTTGAGAAGAATTAAATACCGCACAAAACTTCTTAAAGATTTAAGGAACCGCTTCCGAAAAGAATATTTGGGGCAATTAATAATGAAACAACCACAAAATAAAGTAACCCCCCGGTTGCCTAAAATTGGGGAGATAGTCTTAATAGGCGATGATTTCAAAAAACGCTTGTATTGGCCTTTGGGTAAAATTATAGAGAAAATTCCTGGTCGGGATGGCAAAATTCGAACAGTTAAACTAAAAACTCAGAATGGGATTTTCATAAGGCCCGTTCAGCGTATTTATCCACTAGAGATACAACTAAGTGAAAATTATTTAGTTGAAGAGCCTAACGTTAACGACGATAAGAAAAACGATCAGACTGACGTACAGCATATAAAAACAGAAATTTACGTCGTCAGGACGGCTTGTTAAGAAGCCTAATGTACTAGACCTTTTTAATAGGATAACATATGTTTTTGAGTCGTTTGCCACTGACTCAAAAAGGGGGGAGGAGGTTTGCATAATCGAGAAAATATTGTTAAGAATTTTATTATTACTATTTTTATTATTATTGTCTATTTTTCTAAAAGTGTGTTTTTGTTTTATTATTGTGTGAAGTTGTAACTATATGTCTTTTCTTGTGTGGCAACAACGCTTCTGTAATTCTTCAATTTGAACTTTTGGATGTGTGCCAAGTTTGATGGCGTAATGCTCTGGTGAGAGCGTCGATTGATTGTGTAGATGAAACATGTTGTTTCAGAACGTTATTTCTTTAAAATATGTAAAATAAATGTTTTGTTTTCTGAACTCGGATTATGCAAACGTTATTTAGTTTCAACAGTTGTTTTAAAAAATGTTATCACAAAAATAGCTAATGTAATTAGATGCACGCACATGGAAACTAGTCAATAGAAAAGAATTCTCACTAATATTTTTAAACGAGGAAACCTGTAATGTATCAAAATGCATGTTTTATGCAGAACGTGCCAAAGCAGACTAGCATCAGTTGAAAATCTCAAAAGCCAAATGTCAATTTTTGCATCATTTGCCTCCTATGAAATTGATATAAAGTGAAGCAACTGTGTCACAAAAATTAGTAAGTGGATATCTAAGAGTCAGTCATAACCACTCAGAAGTTAGCATCATGCCACTGGTTAATCATTGCATAACATGCTTCCTACCTTGCATTCCCATCTAGCATTCTCGAGTAGCAGCTATGCAAACGTAACTTTTCTCAAGTGTGCCTCAAAATAATAGGGTAATGTGCTGTTTACAAATGAGTCATAGTTTAGCTTAGAAACTGATTCCTAATAATTTTTAATCTGGAGAACATTTGAAACTCTCACGCCAGTAACATTCGTAAAACACGTGCCTACACAGGTATGGTTTGTTTGATAGTTCTGCTTTGGTTTGACATTTCGGACAAGAACTGCAGATGGCTTCCTCACTGATCTACATGTCTTCCTTGTCAGTATGACTGCAGTGCAGTATAGAAACCGCTTCTTTATTCAGTATGATCTTCATTCTTGTGGCGATGAGTTCTGATCTCTTTTTATATGGACAATAATACGTGAGCTTACCTGTCGTATTGTGGGCCAAGACTTAGATTTGGATATAATGCTAAAATCACCATTGAGATCACGAGACTTGAAATAATTATACGTATAAATGTAATATAGTTAGAAGACACATATACAGTCAAAAGTCGTTAATTCGGACGCCCATAATCCGGAATGATCTATAATCCGGACCTCAAAGCTACAAATTTTCTGCGCATGCGTAGCGTTGACGCTTGCACGTAAGACCTTTATGGCTGCGAATATGCGTGTGCGCATGCGCATAATACGTTTACGCATGAGCGTTTAATGTATAAAGCTGAGCTAAAATTATCTAATTCAGTTAATGTTGTAGATTGCGTTGTTCCTTAATCTTCGAATTGGATCCGGCTTATTATTTTTTGCAGACTGTTAGAGCAATTTTTATAAAAGTAAGCTTGAAAACTTTCGATTATGTCAAATAAATTTCCGATAATATTTACTAATATGAAAAGGATCTACAAAAGCGAAAGTTGTTTCGAAGTCCATTAAACAAAAAGTGGAATTGCTGTAAAAATAGATAAAGGCATAATCCTTTGTTTATCTAACCGTTCCGAAATCTGTTATCAATTTTCAAGCTGCCTCTGCGGCGGGGGGGGGGGACGTCGCGGCGCGCAACGGATTGGAAGTTGATCTGTCAGCACTATCCTTATCTTCAGTTCAGATGTTTTTATTTAATTTGGCTTATAATTTCTTACTAAATGTAGCATTTCATCATCGATGTACTCCATCTTTGATATGAATTTAAATCAAATTCCACTTCATTATAATTCGCTTACGATAGTGAAGAAAGTGACAGAGAGGTTTTTGAAAACGGAAAAATTTCGATTGACAAATTAGTTGGTATTCTCGACAGCAATTACAGTTGAAGTTGTAACTGAACAAGAAATTATGTCCTTTTATAGAATTAAAGAGAAAGTATTATCACATAAAACGAAGCAACTTAAACAACTTACATTGAAAGAAATGTTTAATAAAGTAAACACTTAAATATCAAGCTTTTTTTTTTTTGTAAATTTTGATACCCTATAGATCATAATTGTTCTTTATTTCATAAATTACGGTTTCATATTTTTAATTTTAGAATTTCTGCATACCATCTTACCAGATTTAAACTGATGATCTATAATCCGGAATCGCCAAAGTCCCGACGAGTCCAGATTACCGACTTTTGACTGTATTTTCTTTTCATGGCACCTTTACGATCTAAAAATATGTCTGCTTAGTCAGTGCACTGCCAAGTGTATATTTCTAGCAGGGTCTTTTTATCGGAAAACATACCGGTTTTTCATCACATTTCCTGTTCTCTCAATCCTCGAGTTTAAATTTTTAGCCTCTCTCCATTATAGATGCTGCTTCAACATTTCACCCGTCAAATAACAGAACGAACTTTAATTGGCCGATATGACCACGTAATTCATTAGACGAAGAAGAGCGCAAAAATAAACTTCCCGTTGCATATATCCCGTAAATGCGAAATGAAATGAAGGGGTTGTAAACTTAACCAATATGAAGTTGAAAGATTGTTTTGTTTTGTTCTTTGCCACATTTATTCGCACGTGTCTTTTTTTTTTTCGGGGGGGGGGGGGGGGGGTAGCGATTCGTCCGCACGTGTCATAATGGTTTAAATTTGCACAGTTAGCTGTTAACTAATTCATTCTGTTATTTGGCATTAACTATTAATTTAATTTCCATTATGTGTAAAAGTGCTTTCATAAATAAAAACTTTTCTTTCCTACTGAGAAGTGTGTCAGCATAAAAATTTTAAAATATTATAAAATGAAATAAATTAGCCAAGAAGTATAAAGTCTAGAATATCTAATTAAATAGTGCTATATTGTACATCAGAATCATATTATAAATAGATCAGTAACCTGAACCACGCATTATGTAGTGAATTTAAGTCAATTTGGCATTCTCTTGAAATCGCGTCTCCATCAAGGTTTTTGCGGTTTCCAAAGACACCTCTCAGTTTCTCAAATTTTAAAGTTGACAACTATGTAATAGCATGCTGGCAGATTTTCCTAAAGACAGACGTTTTGCCAATCAAAAACCCTATTTTAGCTTAGCGCTATTGCTTAGTTATTTATTGAATCATTTGCTTTGAAATTTTCCACATTAACATCTTTAGTCAATGAATTCAAATAAATGCTTTCTCATTATTTTTTTTTCCACTTTGCTTAACTTTTGGAGATTAATGTGTAATTGTGATTTCAGAGTGTTAAAAAAAATTGCTAGGCGGGGTGTTAACTTAAATATTCATTCCATGGATATACATCCAGTTATAATCGCTGAATTTCATGGAAGCATTCTTGGCAGTGTGTAAAGAGAGTTCCATAAATGTACAGTCTAACTTTTTATTAGATTTTGGTCACTGGAGAGTAAAATTTTTAAACAATTTTCCTTATTAAATTAAAATTAAAAATTCGATATCCAGGGATTAAAAGTGCATGGAAATTTTTTGGCTATAAATTTTTCTAAAGTCATTTTTCGATACTTATTACCGATTTTATTTCAAAATTTTTGAAGCTAGGAATTAAAATGACTAAAGCGGAAAAGCATCCCATATTAAATTGGCTAATGAACTCCTTTACTTTTGATGCTTAAAATGGAAAACAAAAATATCCTACCTATATAAATTTTATAAATAATGGTATGGAAAGAAAGAAATGTATAGAATTTTTTTTCAATTAATTAAAACATAATCAATACTTTGCTGAATGAAAATTTTTACTGTACAAAAATATATAACAAGCTACAAATTTTTTTAGAACGTCTACCCCCAATGTTAAGGATGTTTTTCATAAAATTTAATACTCTTTCTTTATACCTAGCTTTAAAGACATAAAGCCACTTTCCCAAAAAAAAGTGTATTTACTTCCAAGCGGAATTGGGCCAGCACCAGGGTGCCTGTATATAAGGCATTATCCTTATCGAATAAGCATTTGATTTAAGCATTTAAATAATAAATTATTACATTTTAAGTATTAATTAAATTATCCCTAAATCAAAAAAAAAAATTTCTACAAAAAGTGTGTTAATATCTTTTGTTGATATACTGTTGTTGTTAGTATTTCCAGGATTATTTAAACACTTTATTTTATTTATCGTATATACTTAAAACCAATTTCTTTTTCTGATGGTGTTACTGAAATTAAGGAATACAATTTTGGAAAAAATATGAAAGTAAAGAAATATGATAGTTGAAAAAGGATAATTTATAAATATTCCCAATTTTCAACATATCTGCAGTGTCTAAATAACAGAATTTTCTCTTACCCTATGTTAGAACTGTATTTAACTTTTAAAAATTGCTTCACTCATGCTTTGAAAGCAATCAAATTTTGTTTCCTTCTGCTATAGTTATAGTCTTGTAATGCATTCCTTCCATTGCTCTGCACTACAAGAAATTGTCATGTTTCTTAACTTTGTAGTTTTCACTGTTAACTATTGTTGGTTAGTTTGATTTCCTCACTAAATGCATTGCACTGCTGATATAATTTTCACTTCTGCTTTTGCTTAACTCTGCTTTTGGCATGGTGTGTGCTTTTTACCCTTTACTATCAAAGTGTTAAATATAACACACTCTAGTATGCACAGGTTAAGGATGGAGTACATGGAAAGGCAGCTGGCAAGTCTGACGGGTCTAGTACAGAAAGCCCTGACTACAGGCCCACCAAACAAAAATCAGTCATCCCAGCAACTTCAACAGATACCAACACGAGATTGTGATCAAGGCAAAGACAGGAGTAGCACTAGTAAGTAGCAATTTATTTTAAAACTTAATTTTACTAGCAATTTCACATTTTAGTTTTAAGTGACATATTGTATAAATGAGTTATTTTTAATTACTGATGTACACTTTTTTATTAAAACCTGAAATAATGCCAGTCATATGTACCATTGAGTTATTTTTAATAACTGATGTATGTTTTTTTAGTAAAAGTAGAATTAATGCCAGTCATATGTATAAATGCTCATTTCAAGGTTACATATATGCTCCTTGCTCACTCCCAATTTCTATTCTAAATTTTTGCTACAGCAGTATTTTTAAAAGAAATCACCATTTACTGCAATGCACTTACTTAAATATAAACCAGTGAAACATGTACTTTAGGCTGTTATTTGTCATGCACCTTAAGCATGCTTTTGCATGCTCCAGAAGGACTGAAGAATCATGAAAATATTTTCCTTGTAGGCATGATTTAAATGTTTGCAAATGAAGGTTTCATGAGGCTATATATATTCTATAGTGGATAAGAAACACATCTGTCATTATTTTTGATTAAATCATGTGTTACAACATTTACTAAATCAGCTATTTATTGTCTTGATGGAGTTATCAGGAAGAAAGATGCAGTTCCAGTTGTCTATAACTGTTCTGTTAAGAACAGTAGTGTAAACCTTTCCTTCTTGCTTGATTTTTTTTTTTTAAATTTCTGAGAAGACCTCAAACCATTAAAATGTTGTGCAATGAGGTAATGATCATCACACATTTCTTCTTTAGCATTTGTATCTCTGTTGCTGTTTTACCTGAGCAAAAGCTGAAAGCATATTATGGCTGCATATATTATTGCTGACTTCCAAGTAGCATTCATTTTGGCTGAAGACACAAGAAATAAATCTGTTTTCATTTCTATAATTTTTATGCAAACTGAAATATCATACTAGCATCTGACAGAAAGTTTCTTAAGGTGATAGATCAAGCATTGGCTTTAGAAGAGGCAAAGAACAAATGTAATGTTTTAATTAATAAAATTGCCTTGGGCATAAAATGGCACTGCATTTTGATAATGAGATAAAAATAATTAGAAATGATTAGGAGAAGAAATAAAAATATTATCAAGAATAACTGAACAAATTTGCTTGATAGAAATAATTTTTATTTCTGCCAACTCTTTCGGTTGTACTGTGAAATTCATCTTTTTTTCATTACATCTCCCAGACTTCTGATAGATCACCAAAAACTTCAGTTTTTAATCCTTATCCTATGATAGAGACACCTATTAAGGTAAATGTTTTCCATTAAGAAATGAAATTTAAACTGTACAAATTGCATTACTTCATCCCCAACAATTTTCAGCATAATTTTTCTTATTTAGTTTTGCTCAGTCTGAATCATCTCAATCTAATATAGACATTTGTAGAACTTTTCATGGAGTTTAACCAATGTCTAATTAGTTAATATTTGCTTATAATTTGCTTCAGGAAATGGTACATTAATAAGTTTATCCATGCAATACTAGGAACATGAATTATTAAGTTTATTTTTATCATATTTAAGCATATTTTGATAAATAAAAGCTCTTCTTCCCTACTCACTATTTTCTTAGCCTAAAGTATAAGCGAATTACAAAATAAAAGTAGCCAGAGAGCATAAAATTTAGAATATTTAATTAAATATTAACATATTCACATCAAAATTGCATTATAAACAGTTCTATAGCTGGAATCATACATTATAAAGTGAATTTGAGTTATTGGAGAAGTCAAACAAGAATTGGTGTAATATTTGTAAATTTTGCAGGTCTAGTTTCAAGGGTTTAACTACAGAACCATCTTCCTCAGCTGTTTAAGTGCAAATGAACCAGATAAGATGTGGTGATAAGATAAGAATGTCTGGAAAGAAGTTAAGCAACTGGCACCATCTATTGATGAAACAAGAAAACTAAAACATAATTTCTTTAACCTCTGAAGGTAAAGATGGGATAGGAATTAGGGTCGTTAACTAGAGCAGAAAGATTTTTTTTAATGTGAAACGCCTCTAGAAAATCTAATTCACCAATTGAAGATGTTTTTTTAATAATTTTGGCTGCAGAAAAATGTAAAGTGTGATTTTTCTGACCAACAGTGCTGGACAACAGAGGATTTCTGTGTTTCCTTTTTCCTAACATATACCTCATGTCCTTTAACATGAAATTTAATTTTCCTTAGTTTGAACAATGTAAATTAAACCACATTGGCAAGGAATTCGTATCTGCAATGGGGTCTTTAAGTATGGAACTGGGAATTTTATTGATAGGCAAGAAAACGACTCAAAAGTTAAATTTATTTAATTATTTAGTAAAATTCTTAGTCTTATAACCAACGTGTTTCTCAGATTGTAGAAGATGAGAAAGTGATTAGTGATGAGGGGGGGAGACAAACACAAACAATATTAACTAAAACAGCTACCAGAAAAAATAATGATTTTCCTCCACATCTTGTCAAATTCAAGTTTTTGAGAAAGCTTTGGTTTGAAAAAATTATTCCATTATCTTCTCATTACCATCCTTCTATCAGTTGTTCTTCAGAAAGGCAATGCTCTTCCTCCATTTTCATTAGATATAATCCAGAAGTTGTGGATAAAAACTTCTGGAAGAATATATTTCTAGAAAAAGCTGGCTATCATATTTTGCATTTGTAATATTTAGGTGTGATAGAAAATTTATATGGGAGTCGAATCTACATCATTGGTTTTAAGTTAGCAGTCAGCCCTTGACTTAGTCAGCTGCCAGTTATCTTCCATCCACAATGACAGCAAGAACTAGAATATGGTACTAAAAACTACCTATCTTGAATTCTCGTAAAGCTAACACAATCTGAGCTCATCTAATTTGTGTGACATTCTTATTACACTCAAATGTCATGTACTCTCAAAAGAGGTAAATTGTCATCTCTTTTAATGATTTCATATGTTAAGTAAAACATAAAATTAGTAAAACTAGTAATTCTGTTTTCATTTTTGTTAATTAAAAATTTATTGGAAAGATAATTACTGATGATGATAATGGTCTAGCCCAGGGGTCGGCAACCTTTTGAGTCGGAAGAGTCAAAAATTACAATTTACAAAATTTCAAAGTTTTTAAAGAGCCACCAAATTTTTCCTTGGCAACAATAAATAGTACAAAATAAGTTTTTTGATAACAAAACTAATCTATTTATTCGTAAGAAAATATAATATCATATATAATAGTGTTTTTCACAACAAATTGGGATATTATATATATCTGGCATCATTAGATAATTATTATTTAAGTAAAATTAAAACTATAAACATTTACTTACAAAACTAAAGGCCCGTTTCCACTGCTGCGTATGGTTCTCAATCAGCGACGATTCACTTGATTGACATCTGCAATCCGGTCGGTGTGCCGTGACGGATGACATACGGATGGAGGCAACTTCTATCGTTGTCTGCGGATGTGTTGGGATCACGTGGGAAAAAGGAGCAATCAGGTGCAGTCACTAAAATTAATGGCGGCAGAAGTAGCGATGAACGTCGCTAATAGTAAAGAATTTTTTGGCTTTTTATTCTGAATTAACATTATAGTGAGAAATCTGCGTGCTGAAAAAGATAGCAGCTAATTTAGTTAAAAAAAGATAAGAAAAACAAGTAATTGCAACTACAGTACTTGTTCGTTCAAGAATTCAGTTCAAGAAATCAGCGGCAAAATTTATTATTCCAAGTCATGAAAATAGCAAAATTTTCTGATAATCATTCCTAGTTCTGCATATTCATTTAATGAAATGAAAATCTGACTATATCAAACGGCTATAGCAAAAATATGATTAAAAGATTTGTATTTTTTTTCTTTTGAAACAGGTAAAAACTAAAAACGTTAATTATTAAAATTAAATTGATAGCCTTTTAAATACTCCAGTTCATTGAGAGTATGTAAATTTGTATTTCCCTTTATAATATATATCTTTCTGGATAATATATTTGTAAGCACATGAAATTATTTTAGCAGCCCGTTTAACTTCAATCGGAACGCCACTTTAAAGATAATGTTTTTTGTAAAAAATGTACTAGAAGCTGAAGAACAAACTCTGGTGAATTTTTCAGACGATAGCACGCTGAAATAGGACCAAAAAACTTAAGTTTTAAGAATTGATTTAATTGATAATGTATATAAGCCAAAATATGCCTGCGGTTTACGTGCAATCTTAGCTTAGTGGTAAAGCTGATGGTAACAATGTTCACCTTTTGGAGTCGTGAGTTCGAATCCCATACGATTTTTGCACCCTACGATTACGTACGATCGATCCCATACGATTTGCACTTAAACATCCTCAGCTGTTTAAGTGCAAATGAACCAGATAAGATGTGGTGATAAGATAAGAATGTCTGGAAAGAAGTTAAGCAACTGGCACCATCTATTGATGAAACAAGAAAACTAAAACATAATTTCTTTAACCTCTGAAGGTAAAGATGGATAGGAATTAGGGTCGTTAACTAGAGCAGAAAGATTTTTTTGAATGTGAAACGCCTCTAGAAAATCTAATTCACCAATGGAAGATGTTTTTTTAATAATTTTGGCTGCAGAAAAATGTAAAGTGTGATTTTCTGTGAAGTGTGATTTCCCATTACCCTACGATCGATCCCATACGATTTTTGCAACTTTCTTAGCTTTTTATTCCAATTTGATCTATATTTGTGTTTTATAATTTATTTCTATTATTTTATGCATTAAATATATTGTTTTATTTATGCTCTTATTTATTAAAATTTTTCCCGCAAAAAAGTTTGAAAATTATATAATACTAATTTAAAGCATATCCTGTACATATATATTTGAATTTAACAAACATTGTCTATTAATAAAAAGCAAATTTAAAAGTAATTAAGTTTAAATGAAATTTAATGCAAAAAATAAATGAAATTATTGCTAAGAACTAATCTACAATATATTTAAATTCTGAGAGGCATATGTAAATCAAGTGCAAGCATCAAAATCCATGAATAAATATATAATTCCAAAAATTTATTAATCCTAAAAAATTTATAAAAATGTATAAGTAAATAAGGGATAGATTATTAATCCTAAAAAAATTATAAAAATGCATAGTGAATAATAGGATAGCTTTTAATCCTAAAAATTATAAAAGTGAATAATAGGATAGCTTATTAATCCTAAAAAAATTATAAAAATGCCTAAATGAATAATAGGATAGATTTAATCCTAAAAAATTTATAAAAATGCATAAGTGAATAATAGGATAAATAATTTTTGGAATTATATATTGTTCATGGATTTTGATACTTGAACTTGATTTACATATGCTCTCAGAATTTAAATGATATTGTATATTAGTTTCGCAGCAATAATTAATCATTTATTTGTTGCATTAAATTTCATTTAAATTTAATTAACTTTAAATTTGCTTTTTACAAATAGAAAATGTTTGTTAAATTCAAATTTCATTCCTTGCAGCAATGGCGCAGGAGAATTATTTAAATTAATTTATTTTGAAACCCTGCAGATATATATATATATATATATCGTTTCACTTTTATGTGAATGTATATACATGTCTCAGACTTGGTATGTTACGACTCTAAACTTGCATTCCAATTAACATGAGATAGTCTTAATGCCCTTAAACATTTTTTAACAAAAATTACTATAATAATTGATTTTTAAATTCATCCCTCTCCAGCAGAAGCGCAGGAATTAATTAATAAATATTTCCATTTTCTTTACCTAATGTGTGTATATATAAAGAGAAAAATCTTCTTTTTTATAACTCTTTTATAAAAAGAGATATGAATTAAAAATGTTTAAATTAAAATAAGATTTTATGGATATCATAAAATATAACTGCCCATAGTGAATTTAAAAAACAAAAGAGATTTCTAATAATTTTATCCAGCTATGACCCTGAGTCAGCGGTATATAAGCATAGCAAATTTTGTGTAAATATTGTGAACTTTCTTACAGTTCTCTGTACTTTTAAAGTACCAACTATTTTTTAATTCCTTTAACTTTTTTATTTTATTTATTAATTTGTTTACTTTTTTTTCACTAACACTGCATTTTAGTTTTAATAATATATACATTATTTCATAATATTAAGGCTTTAGAACGCAAAATTTTTTTTTTTTAAATTACTTCAGCTTCTATGGAATTAGTGATGTTCATAAATGCATTTTAACCTTACTTATCTAAAAATTGCTAGCGTACTTTACTTTCGCAGTTCATAAGCAGAAATAAAAATTTCCAATAACATGGAATTTAGTAAACAAACTGTTCTGCGTTTTCGTCAGGATCCATATCAAATCCAAAACAAACAAACTCGCTTAAGCGGGAAAAATCAGATGTTCAGGATCGTAACTCGCGAATGCTTGTTTGGCGCCAAAATTTACAGTGACACCTAGCGGCGGAAAATGAAAGTATTTTACGGATACGCAGCAGTGTGGAAACGCTTGTACGGATGCCGTAGGCGTGTCTTCAATTGACGCAACGCGTTCGTACGCAGTAGTGGAAACAAGCCTTAACTCGTACTTCAATAAAAAAAAAAAAAAAAAAACTATTGAGCAAACAAATTCAATGGAGCGTTTGGCTTTGCATGCCTTTTTAGAAAGACTGGATTAAATCTGGCTTATAACTGGTGTTTTAAGTTTCAAGCATGATTCTAGATTTTTATTTGTTAGTTCACTTCAAATGTTACTTTTTATTATGTTCATGCAAGAGAACGCTTGCTCTCACGAATATGTCGACCCGAATATCGTCAATACTCCATATGCCAACTTCTTCACTTCACTGTACCTTTCTAGAAGACTATTCCATGAGCCGAATATGAAGGACCTCAACACGCGGAATTTCTTTTAAAGCTGTCCACTTGTGCTGCATCGATGTGCATGCTTTTTTGGACCTTCTAACATCTTCCAACTTGCTTTTCAAACTCTGTAAATTTTCCACTCCAAAGCTTTACTTTTTAAATCAATCATTGCATTTCTAGAGATTCATATCAGTTCCAAATGGCGAATGGGATTTTCGTTACTATTTGTTGAGAGGTTACTATGAATAATAGAGTGGTTTTGTTGGTTTTGAATTACTCAAATCTGTCAGAAAATTCATCTTTATTTTTTTTGTAACTGTGCTGAAGTAATTTGTGTCAACAGTTAAACTGGTTTTATCGTGATAGTGCTTTAGAAATTTAAAATGAAGTAATTTACCGCTCTGAATATCTTCTGCAAAAAGGATTATTTTTTTTTTCAAAACAAACCAATTCTTCTTCTAAAACATAAGCTGGGTTTCCCTTTCCTTGGTATTTTAGATTCAGCTCATTTAATTTAGCTGTGACATCCACCATAAAGTAAAATTTTTGCAACCATTTATCGTTCTCTAATTCAGGGTGATTAATGCCTTTTTCATTTAGGAATGCATTTATTTCATTCAAACACAAAGCAGAATGTTTCAACACCTTTCATTTGGAAAGCCATCGCACTTTATTGTGAAGAAAGGAGGTCGGAATACTAAGTCTCCATTTCGTTTAAGAATTCTTTAAACTGACGATGGTACAGTGCTTTTGACAAGATGCTGTTAACAATCTTGATTACCAAATTTATGACCTCAACTATTTCGGGGAGAAATGTCTGGGCACAAAGCGCTTCTTTGTGTATTATGCAGTAAAACGTAACAATTTCGTGGTTTATTTTGCTCTGAAGAATCGTTGTTGCCCCTTTATTTTTTTCCTGTCATACTTCTGGCTCCATCAGTTGCTACTGAAATGATTTTATTTAAATCAATCTTATTGTTTTCCAGGCATTTTTGCACGGCATTCGCTATATCTTCCCCTCTATTTTGTCCCGAGAGCGGTATCAATCCTATAAGTTCTTCTTTTGGATCTTGGGAAGACATATACCTGACAAAAAGGGAAATTTGTACCGTGTCTTTTATGTCGCAAGACTCATCTATAGCAAGTGATAAGGCAAAAGAAAGCTGAATATCTTCTCCCTGCAAATATGTTACATTTAAAAACATTGTCAGATTAACATTACTTGTGGATTGCGTCCAGTTAGTTAACATGGAACTTGATTGCTGTTTTTGTGTTTGGAGCTCGTCGACAGCTTTCTTTCGTCTTCGCTGGCTGGATATTTAGTACTAGCAAACTAAGTATGTTTTTTAGTGAAGTGTCTCTCTAAATTTGATTTCTTATTGTGTGCGAGTTTTTCGAGGCAAATGAGACAAGTCGGAAGACCATCTGAGTTGCATATGAAAGCGAACGACTGCGTCCAATCCCGATTGTATTCTCGATGTTCTTCTTCAGTTCTTCTCCATTTTGTTTTTTTTATATATATAAAATAAATAATATTTGCGTATGGAACTAAAGAGCCACAGCTTCACATCCAAAGAGCCGCAGGTTGCCGACCCCTGGTCTAGCCCAGTGATTCTCAACCAGTGGTATGTGTACCACTGGTGGTATGCAAGAGAAAAGTAGATGGTATGCAAAGAAACAAATTATTTTTAACTACTATTAGATTAAAAATCTCATGAAGAAAAACAACAATTTTGATAAAAATTTCCTTGATCCAACTCTAACTGAAGATTTCTAAAATAACACATTTGTTAACTTTTGGCTGAATGGAAAAAAATAATTTAAAGGCATTTCAAATAAAGCTAATAAAATTTTATTGCCTTTTTGCACAACCTATTTGTGTGAACAAGAATTTTCTTTCATGTTATATTTGAAAAATAAATACAGAACTAAATTAAAAGTGGATCCTAATTTATGGTTAAAGCCATTATTTTCTTTATGTGAAATGAGACCAGACATAAAGAAATTAATCTCTCTTAAACAGGCCCACATTTCATTCTAAATTTTAGGATTAAAGTATTATAACTTAAATTTTGATAATCAAAATGGCAAACAACTTTTAATTTAATGTTTTTTGTGTGCACGTATTTAATACAAATAGCCAATAGGTTGTGCAAATGACAAAATATTTCAATTGAGAAATTGAAAAATAATCATTGTAAAATGTAGTGATGGTACTAAGGTTTTTTTTAATTTTTGTTTAGATGGTACGCATTAGTCAAAAGATTGAGAACTGCTGGTCTAGCTTATTTCAACTAATTTACAGCTGACTTTTCTGCTGAAATGTTCTCATATTTTGCCTATGTTTAATAATGCTGAAACATTTGTTATTATGTAAATGCAGCTATATGGTTACTGTCTCTGTTTAATTGTGTTTATTAAAAGAATGCAACCAATATCTTTTCCATATTAGACTTAAAAAACACAAACTAAAGTATTTACTTTTATTAAAGTATTTGTTCATATTTATTCTTTGGAAAATTTATTTATTTATTTTTATATATAACAGTTTACATCAAAACAGAGTTAAAATATTTTCCATGCTAATATATGAAACTAAATGACATTTTCCAGCTTAAAGAAGTTTCTTTATTGTGAAATTATTTGTGCATGTTTAGTCTAAGAAAAATATTGCTATTAATTTTTCTATGTAATAAATATTGCTCTCTTTTGCCTTACACATTTCTGCAGTATAAAATAATTTCTTTCACATGCATTATCTAAGATTTATGGATGGCAATGTGCCATAATGAGCTATTAATAAAATAAAAGCTTTTGCTTTCTCTCTCTGTTTGTCTCAATCTTTTTTTTTTTTTTTTTTCCCTCAACCAAGAAAAAAGGAAAAAATATAATAATGTACTTTTCTGTAGCCTTTCCAGACAGAACTCCGAAACCTGGTGTGAAGCCGATGCCTGGACGCCCACAAAATCAAGGTTAGCTGTTACCAATTGTATAAATAAATGGATATTGACAAATTTTTATCTATACATTAGTTCTGAAAATTAAGTGGGCTTGAATTTGTGCTTTCTTATTCATGTATTATTATGTTTTTCATAATGTACTGAGTTTCTTTCTGTAATTCCAGATTTATGAATTTTCATATAAATAATTGTACTTGTATTCTTTGCATTATAATTTGCATATATGATAGAGATGTAAAATCATTTTTATGGCTGCCATAATTTAATATTTGCAGGATAAATTTTGGCAGCATTTTTGAATTATTTAATGATACAGTGCATTTTTATGTTGATTTAAAAATTACCATCCTGCAATATTTATTTCACAAAATTAATTTAGAAACAGGAAAATAATTTATATATTAGATGCTAAGTTTTGATCATCAAAGTACTGAAACTGTCTTTTGAAAACATAATAAAAAATTGGTTGATATGTCTATAGTACTCTGCAAATTTTCATAAATTTTATCTTCCTATAAAGAAATTAAGATTTTAAAAAATTTCTGAGATACAGTAATTAAATTCACTTATAACTGAGATTGTTGCTAACTAATTAACTAATCATTTCCTGCATGTATAAGACTATACATGGAAGAACCTTTAATATAATAAAATTTCATAGATTTTTCATTTGCCAGTTTATAAATGTTATTAATACAAATATGCCTGGATATGGCATATGTATAATGATAGTAAAATTGATTAAAAAATTTACTGTAACATCCATTCATTGTCTTTCTTCAATATTTACTATCTTGCAATATTTGGCAATCTGATTACAAGCTTATTCTTATCTTTAATTTAAGCAATACCTCTTACCATGTCTTGGGTAAAGGTTAATTTATTTTTTAATTTTCTTATATAAATATATGTATATTTGTATAAATATGTATGTAATATAATATATTTGTGGAAACTGTCATATGGCAGTTAAATATTGGTCATGGGTACAGAGCATATTATTGAAAAATAAAAACAGTATAAAATTGGTAGAATAATGGACAATTAAAACATGCTAAATGGAGAAAAATGCATAACTGATAAGTTCAAAGCATTAAAAAAAAAGTGAGTCTATAAATATACATATCTTTTTTTTTTTTTTTTTTTTTTTAAAAAACTTTGGTTCTGTTTAATTTTCATTGTTCAAGCCATGCTTCTGTATCTGATATAATATGCTTCTGTACGTTTGCCTCTACAATAGTTACTTTTTGGCCTAGTGTACAAAATCTATTGAGCTTTATATCATTAAGAGTTCTTGATAATTTGTATCAATTGTCTACATGCTTGTGCCCCCCCCCAAAAAAAATCTTAAGATGTGCAACGAAGCAGAAATACTTCTAAAATTTTCAGAACATACTTTGGATCCTTTTTTAATTGTGTCTCTGAGAGTTAAAATGTTTTTCTTATGCAAGAATAACAGTTTTCAAATTGAATTTTCAAATCTAGCAATCAGTCATAGAGATACGAATTACAGGAACAAAAAAACTTAGACCTTTTCCCCCTTATCTTTTAGCCCATTGGCTGTCAACTATGAGATAATTCACAGCAGCATTCTGACCCTGGATTCCTACTACATATGCTTTATATTTCATTCTTCAATTTGTTTATAACCCCTGAATGTGATTTCCGATTTCATTATCAACTAACTCAGTTAACTTTTGTCATATGGAAGATAAAGTTTTTGTATTTTATTTTTTATAATGAGTACAAAAATTGTTAATAGGGACTGGAAGAACATTTAAAAAGTTAAATTTCAGAATTTTTACAAAATTGATTTCTTTAAATTTAAAAATGCCTAAATATGAATCTTTGCATCATTGGAAATATATATTTATGACGGCGGCTGCAAAAATAAAGGCCAGTTAAAGACATTTTGTGAGCACAGTGTATTATTAAACATAGTTTTGTATATAGCATTAAATTCAAATGTGTACTTCTAACCTCTAAAACAGAACTTCTAAACTTCTGACCTCCAAATAAATGCATAATACTCACTATTTTTTAGATAAACTATGTGCACCTTATAATGAATGTATTTCTGACACAGGTTTCCTGCAATAGAAATAATGTTAAGAACTGTAAATTATGTATGTGTAATTTATGTTTTGCATGTATTTTTAATGTGCAGCATGTTTTGATATTACTACTCTGATTCTTTTATTTTTAAGAAACTGCATGTTTACATTTATGTAGACTTATTTTTTTATGCCTTGAAATCCCATTGTTGTATTCCCTGATGCTGTTTGGTTTTTATTGTTTGATTTTTATTTTAAACATTTAAATGACAGATAAAGAAGATAGAAATGCTGCTGGGATGAAACCATCCCTTCTTCCTAAACCTCAAATGCAGTCACCTGTTTTCTATGACAGTAGAGAACATGTTGTACCGAAAGGTAGCACTATTCTATTATGTTTTTATAATGTGTGTTATGTTTTGCATTTGCACTTTTTATTTTGTAACCTTGCATGCAAATATTATTTTTTCCAAAAACCTGAATATTGAAACTTTTTTTAATGATACTAAAACTGACTTTTGTTCAAGTTTTATTTACAACCACATACCCTGTTTTATTCGGGCATTATCAAAAAGCCTCTTTTTCAGTAAAAAAGGGGAAAAAATTCTCTTCATTTAAAATATAAAATGTGATACAAGTTCATAAAATTGCTAAAGAACAAAATTATTGCTGAAAAAGTGGAAAACTACTCACATAGCCATAAAATAATTAATATTATATCATACATCAAAAAATTAAACCTGTAAATTCTTATTTTTCAAATTGATGTCAGTATAAAATAAAAATGAAAAATTTATTGTTACCGTATTTATGCGAATCTAATGCACATCGTTTTTGGCCACATGTAGTACTCAAAATTGGGGTGCGTATTAGATTCGATGGCGCATTAGATTCGAGTGCAAAGTTCGCCGATGACGTCAACCGAATTTAAATCGTAACAATGGATTACTGTATTTCTCGACTACATTTACCGTTACAATTATCGTGTCAAATATATGTATTTGGCTATGCAATGTATCCCGATCCAGTTGTTAGTCTTCTGAATTAAGTCGAATTCTGAATGCTTTACGCATTTCCCGTGTATCAGTACTTCCAGTCACACACTGATGGCTATTGTATTCTTTTATTTTTATTTCTTTTGGTATATCCTCTGTGTATTGCTGTAATCATTTACATTCATTATGTCACTATGTTCTCTGTTTTTATGTTATATTGTCATTCAAGTCTAATTCTACTGTATATATTTTACTCATTGTATATTATTGGGCTGCCCAACATCAGAGTGTATTTTAGCCTATGTATATTCTATATTTGTGTGTATTACACCTTTGTCAAATTTTTGCTTATTGTCAAAACTCGCCCTTGTTTGGCCCTGTATGCTTTTGTTATTTTATTTAATAAATGTGGGGCCTGGGCGGTTGTTGGGACTATCTTTCGTGGGCATTTGGTCTGTTGGACTGCCCCCGGTTTGAATTTAGCTCTGGGTTTGGACGCCCGGTGCGTGGCATCTTATGATTCCTCTTTAGGCTCTAGATATAGGTGGACGTGCTATACCGATTAACCTTTTGGTAAAGGGACAGTGCCCACGTCCTCCGTTGCTTATCGCTTATTGCATAGAGGATACAAACTGCAGAGTACGTAGTCACGAAATGGAGGGCAAGCAGAGAAGAATGTCATATGACGCTACTTTCAAACGTAAAGTAATTGTTTATCCTGAAAGAAAGGGCAATAGAAAGGCTGGAAGAGGGTTAAACGTAGCTGAGAGCAATGTTCGCTTGTGGCGGCAACAGAAATTGGCACTGTTTGCAACTAAAACTAGTAGAAAGAAATTCACTGGCCCTCGCTAAGGAAAACACCCTAAAATTGAAGAAAACGTTTTGGAATTTGTACGTGAAAAGAGGAAGAATGGACAACCTGTGACTAGCGACACTATAAGAAATAAAGCAAAAGAGGAGGCTGAAGTTCTTGGAATACCGAAACCAGAGTTTAAAGCTAGCCGTGGATGGGTGGATCGGTTTATGAAGCGGATGGGCTTATCTCTAAAACGCCGTACAAGAATATGCCAAAAGCTTCCTGCAGATTTTGAGGGAAAACTACTAACATTTTAGCGGTATGTCATCACACTTCGGAAGGAAAAGAATTTTTCAATGGGGCAAATTGGCAACGCTGACGAGACGCCAATTTGGTTTGATATGCCTCGTAACTACACCATTACGGAGAAGGGGACTAAAAACGTTATCATCAAAATAGTGAATAAAGACGTTTACTATTAATCACTGATTGTAGAAACTGTTAGCTAGATAGAAATGTTACGATTTATTTCATGTTCATACTTTACGATATGTACCGTATATACTGTAGGGGTAATTAACAATGATTGTTTCACATAACAATAGCACACTAATAGGTTAATTCTATGTTATGCTATTTATGTATAAATACATTGTTGTATAAAATATGGTATCTAAATTTAAATAAAATTATCATACCATTGATTGATAGTTTATATACAAATCCATTGTTGTATAAAATAAGATTCAATAAATTCCTCATACCATTGATGCGCATTACATTCGCCGACAAATTTTTTTTTTTATTATTTAAAGTTTTAAAATGGGGATGCGCATTAGATTCTCATAAATACGGTATTTTAAATCTAATCATTGCTTGCACCGTATTGTTTTTCCAAATCTCTTTTGAGGAAGATTTACTGAGACATGTAAGTTAAAAAATTTATGTAAGTTAATTTTATAGTCATTCTTAAGGTTAATTTCTGTTGTTTTTTCCCCTTGAGCTTTTATTGTTGTGTCACTAAATCAAAAGTAAAAATATAACAAGAATAAAATGACATTAATAAAAAGATATGAACTGTTAAGTGGAAAGTCTTTAAAGGAGAATAAAATGTTGCATATATGATAATAAATTTAAGGAAATCAACTTTTGGAATAGCTTTGGTATATAGTCATTTGAGTCTAAAATCTATTTCATCTCCAAAATGTTACCAAGGTATTCCAATCTTATTCACAAAGTATAAAAATTTATAAAATATGTAGATTATAGATATACACGTGTATATATACATTGCAAATAAATTAATATTAAAATATTGATATATTAAATACTGCTGCTGTTTTCAGAGTATATAGCTATAAACTAAAGGGTGCAATCTCTTCAAAATTTACAGGCTTTTACCAATTTTTTTTCATCAAAAAGTGGAAAGCAGTTAGAGATTGCTAGCAAACATTTTAAGCATGTTAATTTCCTCCCAAATGGCCATAAAAGGAGAACAGAAACTATCTGGAATGTTCTGCAGATTTCATAAATCAGCTTTGGATTAATATTTTCCAATGTTAATTATCTCTGATTTTCGAATTAAATAATATTTTAAAGATTTGTTGTTAGTTTAACATATCTAGAATATGAGACTACCATATAGAAATATTAATTCAAAAATGAAAAAAAAATGTATTGACATATCATATGCACCTTTAATTTAAAAATTTGTTAAGAAACACATTATGATGGATATTCATACAACCATATGTCTAAATATAGTTATTAAAGTGCCATTTCTTTTTTAATATCAAGTCATTCGGAAAGTTCTGCAGTTTTTCAAATCAAAGTACATTTTTGTCATATTATGATCTTTGTTTAAAAAAATCTGATGTGTACACCACATGACTTCCTTGTACAGAATATTAAATTATATGCATTTTTTCTTGCATTTCATTTAAACTTATTGAATTGAATTAAATCTACTTCGCCGACAGCGCATAAACCACAATAGAATAAATGTATTCTTTAAAATTTACTCTAGTATTTGTTTATCATAGCGACACTCTGGCGCTATATTCACTTAACAGTATTATATTTCGTTCATATTATAACTCAAAATGCACAAAATTTATATCATTTAAAGAATAGAATTATCTAATCGTTGCCACATGTTCTATTCAAATACTATAATAAAGCTAGAATGATGTATAAAAGAAATTAAGCAAACAACAAAAAAGAAACAGTTTTTCACAAACGATTAAGTATTTCTCATTCAATTAATTCAGTTCTCACTTTACGAGAAGGCAAAAATACATAAAAACTCAAAATATTTATATTAAAAATTACGAAGTAAATCTTAAACACTTATTTCCTCGAAAAAATTCCAGAAAGGATTAAGCATGATTTAATGGGCAATAATAAATGAAGGCGTTATCTTTGTTGTTGCAAAGCTACGTTTCTCTAGATTTGCAACAAATCCACTAGTCTGCTGTTTCAAATGTAAACAATCAATGGCCGCCTAAAAAAAAAAAAAGGCTTAGCGGCACTTAAACAACTTTAAAATTGTTAATAATTCTAAAAATATTGCATACAGATTTACTAAAGGCATAAAAACCTTAACTGGAAGATAAAACAGCATAATTCAATCATTTTTAAAGCAAAAAATGTACAATTTACAAACATATACGATTAAAGAAACTGAGATCACTGAGCCGGGTAACAGAGTGGATATATATATAAATATATTTATATACGTTTGGTGCGGCCGATTGCAACCAAAATACGAGGTGCACATCTACATGTTATAGCAGTCCTATATACAAAATTTCAAAGTTCTGAGGCTACTCGTTTTGGAGTTATGCGAGATACGTACGCACGTATGTACATATATTAGTACAGACGCCACGAAAAATTCTCTTTAGAATTCATTTTAAAGCAGTTTTATAATTTTTTTTGAGGAAACGAGTCTTTTATTCTGTCCTTACGTACAGATATCACGCAAAAACATTGTTAAGTTGCATTCGATAGCGGTCAAAATGAATATTTTCTTTGAAATATGCTGCCTAAAACTTTTCGCGATTACAATACTTCCTTTTTACTTCGTACAAGGAAGTAAAAAGGGAAAAGCAGTAGTCAGTCAGTCATAGAAATTGTGCTAGAATTAGCACTATTGGCAAAGTTTTGTTTCTTATAACAGAGTTTGAAGCTGATTTGAGAAGTTTTAATTGTGAAAATGTCAGCCTCAAAGATGATACCTGCTCTGGATGACCATCCTTTGTAAATAAGAACCTATTGAAGGAAGTTATCTCTGAAAATCCATGTTATACAGTTCAAGAACTATCAGACAGACTAAATATTCCAAAAAGAACACTAGAGGATAATTTGAAGAAGGGTGGGTAAATGCAACCTGTTACATACCCACTGCTATGATGTATAGGTACCTTATACTGTAACGGAACAGAATATGATTGCTTGAATCTTGACATGCAATTCTTTGCTGAAAACAAGTAAAAAAGTTCATTTTTTCATACGACTTATTACTGGAAGGGAGAATGTATAGTCTATAAACTAATGTTATCAGAAAAATATCATGGGGCAAACCAAAGAAACTCCTTTAGTTATATTGAGAGGAGGTCTGCATTCCCAAAAAGTAAAATCCTTTTTGTATGGTGGGACTGTTAATTCATATAATATATTCAGAAAAATTCTCTTCCTAAAAGGACAGTTTTATAAGCAAAAATTGAAGGGAAGTGCCCAAAAGTGTTCAGTTGTCAAGATGTTGTCTTCTTCCCATGACAATGCTTAGCCTCACATTTCGATGAATATCAGATAAAGATTTATTGAATATGGCTGGGATTTTTATGTTTTTTATTGCATATTCATTGAACCTTAACCCTTGTGCCAATCCCAGGCCATCAGTCGCCTATGTACACATTAAAATTAGCCAGCCTTTTTTACAGAAATATAATGTACAGTAAGACCTCGCTTAACGTGGGGGATATGTTCCATCGAAGTAGAGCGTAATGCGAAACAGGGCTAAGCGAGGCTATCTTAACATGTAAATAATGGGGTTAGGGGAAGATGGATAAAAAATGGTAGGCACTAAATTTAATAATGTTTTTTAATAAAATAAAATCAAACATTTATTTCTTACAAAAAATAAAAAAACAATATAAACGCATATACTTTTAAAAACAAATAAAATTCTCAGTCAGATCATTCAGTCTATTCTGGGTTTCCAATTTTCTGCCTTTTGTCAAGAAGGCATTATGATAGATTGGCTTAATGGCATATTGCGTTCAATTTCGTCGTCAATCCATATAGACAGTCGTTTTCCCATTTCCCTCTATAATGTGTTTTCTAGAACGGGTAATTCTAGTTGCAGAGCTTGACGTAGTTGCAGTTGCCGATGACAGTATTTTTTCTTTATTCTTAAGAATTGTCCTTATTGTTGAAGTTGCCAAAATCAATGCAGCACTAATTTGAGATTGGCGTTCACCAGAATCTAATCTTCTAATCACTTGCATTTGAGTTTCCAGTGAAATGCTTTTTCTGGTTGCTTTCTTTTCTTGTTTTTTATTATCACCCATGATAAAAACTAAAGATCATAATATTTGTCACTGTATTAATCGTTATAGTATTATACAAATTTAAACTAACAATAATGTCAACAAATGTTTCAAATGATAAAAATGCGTTCACAAAGCAAGAAACACAACTACACTGTTTCGGATATGTTATTTGGAAACCTAGCGCTGCGCACAATTTCAGAGAATCCCCGGGTTGAAATAAAAGAGCGGTAAACCGAAACAGCATTAAGCGGGGTCTTACTGTATTTGATAATCATTTAACCACCCTTAAATTTGGCTGCCCATGTGCTGTGGGCCATCTTGCCCCTCCCTCCTCTTCAGCTAAGATCAGTCCTGCTTAGATCTCTTGGTTTAACATCTCTTTGAGATTACTTCGGAATTCTGCGAATGGAGTTAACTTCTGTGGAGATTATCTAATAGCGTCTTTATAAGCAAGCGTCATCTAATAGTGTCTTTTCTTTACGAATAACCCCAATGACTCTTTAAAAAAAGGAATTTTTCTAACTACTGGAGAGGTGGTAAAACACCATAGAACAAAATGGTTATGTGATATTTTGGTATATTTTGTATTTCTTCATTTGTATTTATCACCAGAAACCCACAGAACTTTCCGGATGACTCAGTAGTAATACTGTTGACTTTTAAGTAAAGATCACAAACATCATATTTGCATGTTAAAATTTATGCCACTCTTTCAAAAATTATTAATATAATTTTACATTGTATATATACATTGCTAGTTTGTTAAAAAAATTAATTGTGTATAACATTTGTTAAGGAATAAACCGTTCTTTAGCCAAGTTTTTTTTTTTTTTTTTTTTTTTTTTTTTTTTTGTGTGTGTGTTGATGAGGATTTCTCAATGGACAAACTGATAATAGCCTGTAAATTTTATTCTATTCTCTAATTTGAGAAATGGGTTATTACTCTCATCATTTGCATGAATTTACTTTATTTTTAGGAAAAACTGGAAACAGTAATTTCTTTAATAATATCATAATTTATTCACTTTTGTTTGTGTATTAATGCATGTTTCCTTACTTTTAGAAGTTCATCTTACTCCTGAAATGTATGTTCAATTAAGACATTTAAGGAAGCAAACCAAAGATCTTCGGTTAGAGGTGCGGAACCTAAGGCGCATTGCTCAGGCTCAGTCTGTCACAGCCAGAGATACTGTCAGAGAAACATGCATCAAAATAAAGGTACTCTAAAATATAGTATGATAGAATTCCAAATATCTGGACTGACGAAGATCGCTCTGCATAAATATATTGCAAAAATTTGGATAATTGATTTTTATTTTTCTGTAAGCCTAATACATATTTATTAGAAATCAAGCTGGGAGGTTTTATTTTTTATTATTATTGTACTTATTTTTTAGAAAGATTACAAGTATTTTTATTTTTGTAAAACAAAATAGCAAAACAGTGCTTTTGGCAAAACTGAGTAAAGAAATTAATTTTTTTTCATTTACTTACACTTGTCTAAACCATAACCCCTTTCCTTCAATTAAATAAAAAAAAGAATGAAATTTTTATTCATTTAGATCCTAAAAATTTTAAATATAACTTTTTTTTAAATTTTAACTGCACTAAAGTTAAACAGAGGAAGTATTTTTTGTTTGTTTAGCGTAAATGTGTAACCTAGTTATATTTAGATAAGATTAAAGTGAGAAGTTTTTTATTGAGTGTAAATAATTTTTTTAATCCTCCTGAGACCTTAGCTTTTCAGCCAACAGTCTTTGTCTGGCAGTTCAATAAAGTCTTGAAACAAGTAAAAAGTTAACATCTTCTCTAGAATAATTGCTGTTAAGATAAGGGCAGTTGTAGAAGTGGTTGTCAGGCATGCCAGCTAGGCCATATAACGTGGTCACATACCAGCCAGGGTAATGTGATGGAGATATTTTTGCAAATAGTCTTCTGAGATGAAAATTTTGCCTCGGAACCAGCAGGGGCATGCCATCAGTGGACTAGAGGAACTAGTCCCTTAATATTTTAGACATTAACACTTTCAAGTATGTATTTACCTATCATTTGAAAACATTAAAAGAATCATCAATTTACATCTTTTGAAACCATGAACCATAGAGTATAGTTGGTTTTTGTGTGAATGTTTAGGAGCTCAGTTCCATTGGCTGTAAAAGAAGAAGAGACTAGCTGCCTTTCATCTGTTCCATAGGTGCCTTAAATGCTATTAACTACTGGCAGTAGGTTATAAGAAATTTCAATTTTATTATGACTCAAATCTGAATTATATCAATGAAATTAGTTTAACTTTTATTGCTCAAGTTCTTCAGGAAATTGTTCATGTTATACATGAATAATTCAAAGCAAAATATATTGACACAGTAATACTGAGTTAAAATTATTGAGAGGAAAGCTGTACAAAAAACTGGTATATATACGAGAGATCATTATGGAGTATTTGCAAGTAACCTATGAAGACGTTTTAAGGTACTCAATTAATTATGAGTATAGCAATGGTCTTGATGCATTGTCTACCATGATCTTTGGGATAACATGTTTTCAAAAGAATTTAAAAATAATTCTAAAATGTATATATACATCTTCCGCATGTTGTACAAACATGAAATTTTATAGACATCATTCCAAAGTGAAGTAATACACAATTTCAAACTGATTAATAATATGCAAAGTATGTTTTACTGCCCTTGTGTTCTTTTTAGATAAAAATATTTTTAATTAACTTGTTTGTTATAAATAAGAATTTTAATGGAAAAATAGAAAGGATTGTCAGTTTTTCTGAAAAAAATTGTTATGTGTTGGAGGAATTGGTGTAAAGTCACTTTTTTGTTGTTGTTGTTTAATTTATTTTTAAAAAGAAGCACTTGCTATGTTGTAGGTTGTGATTTACAGAGTAAACCAGAAATATAGGTCTATGCTCAATATGCAGTTGATATTGAATATATATTTATATATACAATATGCAGCCTATATTTATATTCAATATGCATATGTAGGCCTATATTCAATATGCAGTTGTTTTTCTATTAATTTTTAAAGACTATATAAAGCCTAATATTGCATAGAGCAATACAAATGTTTTATACATTTCTTTAAATTAAACTAATAACTTCTTAACTCTTAGTAAATGAAAAAGAAATTCACTATCTGTAATCATGGAGACAATCTGCTATAAATGCATTGTAGCCATGCACAATGGATTAAGATTACCTATTGTATTATATTGTCATTTTTATACTGTTTAAATCAATGGAAAACATTTAAATCACATAAATAAAATAATAGCAGTTTTCTAAATAATTTGAGTTCTAGATAATTGGAATTCTACTAAGTTCTGAAATTTTGGGTTATAAAGGTAAAATTTTTATATTAATTACATTTTATTTCTCATTTAGTCTATGTTAGCATCAGCACAAGCAGGAGAAGATCAAGTTTGTGCCGAAAGATTGAGGGTGTCTAGAGAAGAAGATCTGTATCGACAAGATGTAACAAAGCTTGAGAAAGATCTTACGTAAGGGAGAATTTAACTTTCTAGTAAAATTAACTTTATACTTTTACTAGAATAATTGCAAATTATAAATAAAAATTCTCTTTTTCATAGCAACCATGCAAGTTTAAAATTAGACAACAGGGCAAACTTAATTTGCTGTAGATTTTGGAATAAAACTAATAGATTTCAAGGGTGATAAGATACAGGTCTCTCTTCTTCAGAAGCAAAATTGTGAAAGTTTTTTTTGGGGGGGGAGAAGGCGAGGAATCTATGTCTAATTACTCAGGTTATCAATAAAGTTTTACTCAAAATATATGGCATATTAAGCTTACTTTTTGCCTAATTTTAAATTTTACATTGGGTGTGTTTTATTTTTTATTTGATTTTTAGCTGCCAACTGGCAATTTTGAGAAATAAGTTTCTGTTACTTAGTTTCCTTTCAGAGCATTCCTAAAACTAGCTTTTTATTTTAATATATAAGCCTTTCTTTATCCAGTTAATTTTTTATATTTTCCATATTTAAGAATCAGAGTGGCAGTCTGTGTGTAATAAAAATGTGTCTTCATCTTTAAAATGTCCACCTCGCAAAAGCATTTCATTTGCATTCATAAAACTGTCATAAGTTTACTGTATTGTAATGATACTCTAGCATTTCGTTCTCTTAAAAATATTTCGGGCCATGTAAACATTTTTTTTTTTTTTCCCCCAATAAAATCGTTTAATTCTTACAATTTAATTCTTTGTTATTTTACTTTAAGATTAATAAAAGGTCTATCATATACAGCTAAAAAAGCACCAAAAATATTATTGTAATTTAAGTTAGAAAACTATTCACTGGACTTTGTTAGTAAAAGTTGTAGATTAAGTTTTCGTAGATAAATTATAGTAGATGCCAAAAAATAAGGCAATTATAGCTGAAATAAAAATCTCCATAATGATAGTTTATGTTTTAAATTCACATTCTTGATTAATTTTTATAGTGTTAATTAACTTTCAAAAAAGAAGTGAATAGATGCTGATAATAAAGTATTAGGATAATAACACAAACTGCAATGTCGTCATAACATGCCTCATATGCATGGCATTTATTTTTGTTGAAGCATTAGGCCTTCTTAATTTTTTCTCTCTAAAAATTCTTCTTATTTTTTTTTCTTTTGCACTAAAAGCAATATATAAATTATTATTTAGTCATCAATAGTTGTGTTACATGTATATAATTACATATTTCAATTTTCAGTGAACTAGAAACTCATGTAGAAGAACTTCGAAGTAATGTAATAAATCGAAAATGTCGTGTGAACATGAGTGATGTTGAAGGAATGGCCCTAGTTTTAAGTAGAGCTAGCAAAACAGTTGCTGATTTGAAAGGTAAGAAATGCCTTATCGTTTATTATTTTTTAATTATGGATTTTTAAGCCAAACTATACTTGCAATAAATTATAATCTGTCATTTACTAATGGCAAGAGTAATATGGTAGTATTTTCTTAGTTGATTAATAAATTAAGCTTATGGGCACAAGTATTTTATTATTTCCTTATTAGGCTTAAAATAATTTTCTTTTACAGCAAGATTTCCCAATCTGCAAGAAAGTTTAAAATCTGTTATGGCAGCAGAGATGGAAGTTGTTGTGAGAGAAGAAAAGTAAGAAATGATTAATTTACATATTTATGATATTATGCGATTTAAACTAAATAACTGTGAGGTGTAACAATATTTTTATTTTGTAGAACGTCATTTTCAGTTACTAAAAATCATTACCATTTAGATATCTTCTGGGTAATTCTTAATTTTGTTCTAAGAGAAGCATTTGCATAGTCTTATGCTGTTCTAAGACATTAGGTATAAAGCAGACAAATTTTCAAAATATCTGGTATTTTAAAATTAAAATTTTTATTATGTTTCAGCCAAAGGATGTTAATACAGTAACAAAACTTTCACTTAAACAGTACAATTAATTTGTTGTTTAAATTTCAACCACCTTTAGTTACTTGTTCAGTTAACATCATTAGTGTTATTTCATTATAAATAGGTTACCAGTTTTATAGCAAGAAAAATAATGCAGATTTTGAGGAATGCTTGGTTGGTCATAGGTCACTATTTCTTTTCTATGATTTCATTTTTGCAACTATAGAAGAAACATTCAAAACTATATTGTTTCAACTTCATTTGTTTTATGTTAACTCCTGTTATTTATTATTGGTTTTTGCATACTGAAGGCTCTATATGTGTAAGAAAACAAACCATGTAACTAAACAGATTATTCTTGAATTTTGTAAAATTTTGCAATTTTTAAGCTGTTTCTTGAACTACAATATACATAGGTCAGTTTTATATGATTTGCAGTTTACAATTAAAAACAGATTATTTATTAAAGAATGAATTCAATAGTATCATAAAATCTATCAAATCAACAATTCTTTAATTTGAAATGTTTGTAGAACAAATGTTATGTATGTTTTAATTTATGTGTTTAAAGGTTATTTTATGGATGTGCGAAATAAAACAAAATTCTCTTACAGATTTTTAAAAGAAGAACCTGATAGATTAGAAACTGCACTCCGACGATGTAAAAAGTTAACTGGGACCTTAGTTACATTAAAGCGGTAAGAATATTTATTTAAAATTATTTTTATTTTTATAGCTTAATACACAGCACAATATTTTAAACATCTAAATGTTAATTCTTATTTTATTACATTTAATATGCAGTAGAATTAACGTATGCTATTTGTTGCTTTTGAATTTTGATTATAACCAATATAGTAAGAAGTTTCAAATCTCCCAAAGTACATAAATCTTTAGTAGAATCATTTAAAATACCTAGTTTTGTAGAAAATGGAAGAGATTTTCAATATGTAAAATAATTTGCATTAAATGATTCAATAAAATTTGAAAATAATTTTTTTTTTCATCTGGATGATGTCAGATAATTAAATGCCCTCAAAACTAGAATTTTTAAATCCCTTCCCACATATGCACTTTTGAGGATATTTGTGAACCAGTTTTCTTTCTTATAAATTACTCTGGTTTGCTGTGGTTTGGCATATTTGCTTCAAAAAATAGTTTTGCATAGAAATGTGAAATTTGGTTGTTGTTTCTTATCCTCCTTTCTTAATTGTTTATCTTCTGCCTGGCAAAATTCCATTTTTGATGTAGAACATTTCACAGATGGATCCTGTTTTCTCTCATCTCTCTAACACCAACCTTTTGAAAAGTTTTTGCTTTCCATGTGCCCCCATACTGCAAAGATACTATAGCATATACCAACATCTGTAACTTTGTTGAAATTTGAACACAAGCTCAATGTCATGGCAGCTAGCTTCTTTACCACTATGTCAATAGATGGCTTTTTTTAATAATGGAGTGTATTTAAGAGCTGAACAAGAGAGGAAGACTGTACAACAGAGCACTTATAATACTGTCTAGTTTAGTTTCAGTCCATTTGAAAAAATTTTTTATGCATTGTATATTTTATCAGTGAATGTATGCAGAATTATGAAATCTTTATGCTTAAAATATTTCATTAAAGAAGTAAACTGGTTATATTTTTATTTGAATCCCATCATTGCTTTAAGCTGAATTTCAAATTTTAATCAATGAAATATGTCTTCCACAATAATTAGCTGCAGCTGAAAAAGTAATCTTATTGACCTCAGGTAATTAAAAAATAATTTAAAACTTATTTGATGAAGAATTTATGTTCCATTGAAGTCTTATGCTGGAATTTAAGACTTTATTTTGATATTGATTGGTAGTTATTACAGCTTTTTTTAACAACTGCATTCAATTAACATCAAATACATTCAATTAACATTACACCTCACACTATATATAATTTTCAAGAGTGTAACTGTCAAGTACCCTAATTTTAGTATTTACCTTCTGACTTCAGAAGAAGATGAATGCATTTGATGTGGAATCAGTGAAAGGATTAGCTGTAATGAAATAAAACTTTTTTCATTTAAACTGCATAGCTTTGCATTCATTAAAAAACTAGCATTCAAAGAAAATCAGATTGCTAAAGAAATGTTCACAGGTTGCTTCCATGCCATTATCCTCTACTAGATCATGAGTAAATAAAATGTGATTAAACAGGGAAGTTATATGGGGGGCTGGGATTAAATCCCATGTATTTGCATTTTAGTAAGCATATTACATTGTAGGAAACTGGGATCAGATGTGTAATATAATAAGTAGATTTCAATTTAATTGTTGAAAATTTAGCAACTTTCATTCATTGCATGAGTGAAAGAATCTGCAAGATGTTATTTAAAGTTTAGAAAATCTGATTAGCTTAAATGTCCTCATTTTTGCGTTTGAGAATATTATTTTAATTAGACATTTTATTACTTTGTGTTCTATTTCAAACATGAGTATTATGATTCCAACAAGAATCAATATTAGTATGAAGAGTGTCATTTTAAGAATAATTAGGAAGAAAAAAGGGGAGGCCCAAGAAACGTGTTAAATCAAATAAATAAGTAAATATTTATGAGATAGTACTCTAAGCAACAAACATTACACGACAAGCAAAATTTTGAACAAAAAAACGGAACTGATAAAGAAAGGAACTTAATCAACAAAGTGCTCAAAATGCTGAAAAATAAATTGTGTTTACTTCTAGACCAGGACTGCTATGAAGAATCTAGATCATAGGTCCCTAGACTGCTAGGGTGATACCACTCCCAATGAGTGCTGGAGCCTTCCGTGGGGGGCAGTTCCTTCCTTTTCAAGTCCAGAGGCAAGTGGAGGAGGTTAAGATAGTCAAGAGGGGCAGGCATAGCATACCCACCTATTTAAGAAATTAATATAATCAAAAAATTTGAAAATACCTGCTGTTTTTATGAATAAACATTTTATCTAGCTGTCAAAAATAGATAAAAATGTTGTTATAGAGTAAATAAGCATTAAAAAATGTAAATTAGCATTAGGTATACATAATGTATCTAATTTAGTTTAATATTTTTGGTGGCAAGCTTTTGCAGGTTGGTAAACAATGTTGCAATTCAGGCAATGAAGCATGTTTCGACAAAATTATCAGAGAGGATTTCATGCACACATCAAACAAAGCAAAGGCATGCAAGTTGTTTTGTGCATGAAATCAGATCTGTTAAAAGAAGGGCTAGTGTTAAGTATGTCTTATTACTTTTATGTGCTTTGCCAGTAATCAATATTTGTGTACGAAGGTGATAAAAGTCATTATTTTGATAATTATTTATAAATCTCTTGAAAAGTTAATTTATTTAAATTGTGGCAAATTTTGCATTTCAAAATGTCTGAATCTAAGAAAAAGTGCCGGCAGTACATTATTGAGTATTTAAAATATGGATTTACGTACCTTACAAATGATTCATTGCCTATGAATTTAATTTACCAAAAATGTTTTCAGATGAAGGCATGTAGCCTTCTAGGCTAGAAGAGCATTTGAATAAAATGCATACTAATAAAGAGGACAAAAATTTATCTTGTTTTCAAGAACTGGAAAAGAAATACTATTTAGAATATTCAAGTACATAAAACCTTTTAGCATTGTCTTCCAAACAAGCAGATGATAAACTTCAAACCTCATATAATATTTCAATGTTAATCGCAAAGCAGGAAAACCGCACGCAACTAGTGATGAATTAATCTTGCTGGTTGTCAAAGAAGTACTAAAAGGTATTTTTTATCGTAAGGTAACATCAGATTATCATCAGAAAAGTTCCTCTAAGTAATTATTCAGTGTAAAAAAAAATAGATGAAATGTCTAAAGACGTCAAAGTATCGTTGTGGAACTAATAAATAGATGAAAAATCATTACATTATTATCCATCCAACTCTACAAAATTACAACTACTATGGAAAATAGGATGTCAGATTTTTTTTTCTTCTTGTAAAGAGAATGGTGATCCAGAAAAGGTTGGGAAGCTCTGATCTAGATGATGTGACAATAATAAAATTATTCTGCAAAATTCTAAAAAAACGTTTCCTAATAAAACGATTTCATGGGCTTTGCCTTCTTTTATTCTACAAGTTAATAACTTCTGATTTTACAACCATTCATTTAAAAATTCTAATCTTTCTTCAGTCCTGTGCAATGACAAATCCTGGACTGTGTGGGTCTATCCTGGATGTCTGGTAAACTTGTTTAACTTACTCATCCATATTTCCAGCGCTGTTTTATTTTTTTTCCTAATTCATTTGAATTCATCGTAGTAGTATATAATTTTCAGAATGATGTGTTTGGTTATAATTCATTTCATGGAACAACACAAAGAAAGGAGCATACTTTTCAAGCATTAAAACTAAAGCTATATTTAACAAAATATAATTGTTTTAGAAATTACATTTAATGAAACATAATATTTGAACAATTCTGTAAATTTAACTAATTACCATTTTTCTCTTCCCTCCACACCAGAAGTCCTTTATCATAGTTGCCACATTTTAACTGTTTGTTACACACATGTGGCTACTGTAGTGGCTATTGTACTAGTAGCTCTTTTACTGGGCAACATGGGTTTTATAGCATTAAATATGGCCTTGTAAAAGAGTGACAGTAAGCTGTTAAACATTGCTTTAATTTTCATATTTTTGTTCCATATCCAAAACCATAACTGTTTTCCAGCTTCAGGAAGTGTTAATTATCCTCCTATCTGTCCATTTGGAAGTTATTATTTATAATTTCAGAACCTGATTGTAAATTGATGCAGAAAATGCTTGTAACTTTGAAATTCTCTGAGGAAAGTTACATAAAGTTTTAATTCCATAACAGTGCATAAGGGCGAATAGAGCCAGAATTCAAAACCAACAAATAGCCTAAAGGAATTTATATAAATTTTGATCTAATTTCATTTCTGTGACTGATATGTAACAGATAGATGTACATTTACAACCATATCTCTTGTAAAGAAATGAAAGAATGTGAACACTTGCTGCATTCAGTGCATGTTATCTAACAATAACTAGTAATGCAGCAAAAACAGAAAATCAACATACAGTATCTGATGTGCATAGCATGCTAAAAAATTAATTTTATTATTTGCATTTATGCATCACTGCTTTGATTTTGCTTAATAACCTGCTTTAGCTCCAAATATCTGTATGTTTACAATGTAAAGCAAAAGATCTGTAAGTTAAATTTCATAGCTTATGCCAAATAAATTAATCCTTTCACTAGATTTTTAGGTTGTTCAATATATATGAATATATCCTAAATCAATTTATTATAGCAAGTCATAGTATATAACATAAAGAATGGTTAAATCATTAGACATTTTCTTTTGCTTATTGTAGATTAATAAATTTAGTTATTTAGAAATTAAGGAGAAGCCTTGGAATTGTCTAAAATTTATTTAAAGTGCAAGATCATTAACAAAATCCAAACTCTGTTTTTATTTTTTAATGAGATAATCTTCTTGCCCCCCAAAAAAGTAATTGGCAATAATGGATAACATTTTGTGCAAGAAAATAGTGCAGTTTCATATAAATCAACAAAACTCAAAAGATTAAAAATTAAATTATATTTATTAGTATTATATTATTGTTATTATTATAATAAATGTTATCATCATCATCATTTTAAGTATTGCAAGGCAGAAATTTTACTAGTAGCAATTGATATAGTCTGAATTAAATGCAATAGAAATGTTTAATGATTACAAAATTAAATAGAAATTGTAGCTAATTATTGATTCAGTTATCTTATATAAAATGTATGTGCATAAAGAAGTAATAATTCATATATTTATAGATAGATGTCAGATAATGATTCAGTAATAAATAGCAAGATAATGTTCTTCTTTTATAATTTTTAATAGAAATAAGTATGATGTTAAATTACTAGACAAAATAGAAAATTGCATGTAATTTGTTTTACACTTTTCTCACATATGTTGTAAACATAAGACAAATTCTCATAGATATTTATTTATGAAAGATATCAATGCTTTCATAACTTTTATTTTATTACAGTTTAGATAATTTAATATTCAGAAGCATTAATATTACTGATATAGCATGTGACAATTATTTTGATTTTTAAATAATTACAGATGCATTGTGTTCAAATATAAATGTAAAAAAATACACGTAGCCACACATATTACCTATATGTAAACTACAGATTACACATACCTACATGTAAATTATTATCTATATGTAATTAAGATTACACACCCCTACATGTAAATTACAGATTGCTTTGTAGATGCTGTCGTGCTTCATGAGCTGAATTAGTTTTGAGCATCCCTAGTTCCAAAATGTTATTTCTGCGCACTCACCTTGCAGATACCAGTTTCCCCTTGGTTTAGAGAAGCAGTATTAAGGAAAAAATAATTTTACAAACATATTTTAAAAGTGACATTTTTCTTTTTATGTAACTCAAAGAACAGTTTCAAATAAATAAATAAAATACATACCTTGCAAGATTTTTTTTCTTTACTGGCCAAAAGGGAATGCTTACTTAAAATAAAAATTTCTTTGATCCATTTCAAAAACATCAAATCAAACTTCCATAACAAATAAAAAAATGTCATCTGATTTTTTAAAAATTTAATTTGTATATAATATGCTGCAAATGTCTTATAAAGTTCAAATTATTAAGTTTTCAGTGCATTTCATTAGAAAAATAAAGCAACTGTATGTGTTATAAGTAAAAGACAGCTTTTATTGCAATCAGTTTTTGGCACCTGAGCAATTACATCCTTTCAAGGCAGTCAGCCCTAAAGTAAATTCAGCCTTGAAATAATATAGCTAAGTGTGAAAATCTTATTACTTATTTAGTTTTCCAAAACATAAAAATGGGATTAATTATATGTTTAAACATTATCTCATTTCTTTTCATACTTTTTCTTTTATACAGTTTGCTCTTTCCTTGTGCAGAACATGAAATTTGCCAGGAAATATAATTAATAAAATAATTTGGGGTGTAAATTTTTCGAATTCCTGTACTGAAATTGTGGCTTTAAAAATAAAATGATATTCATTGGCAGCATGTAATATTGGGAATAATAATTTCAGTAAATTATGAAACATATTGAACTAACTATACTTGCCCCCAAAAAGTTTTTTTTTTTTTTTTTTTTTTTTTTTTTTTTTTTCCATCAAATTAAAAGAAATGTTGATCAGTTTTCCACTGCATCCTCAAGATTCTGAATTTCTTAATAATGAAAGCTTTGTATAATAAATATATTTTTTCACCTATATTTAAGCTTTCTATTTTCGTTGTATATATTTCCAGCAGCAATATAAATTTAAATTAAAAATTAGTTTCAAGAGTGTTTTTTTAAATATGTCTGCTACAATAATTTTTGCCCATAAAAAAATTTAAGAAATTGTAATTTTCCTCTGTACTCTGCAAACTTTTGTCTCTGATATCAGTATTACAGAAATTATTTTTGGGTTTTTATGTGAAACTTGAAATTTGTAGAATTTGTCTTTTATTATCATATTAATCACATTTCCTATGTAAATGAATAGTTGGCAACTATAAAATCATGTTTTGCACTATAGTATCTATAATATAATACAAAGCATGTGATATTTTATATGAATGAAAATTGGGATGAATAAAGAAAGTAATTTTGCAAAGTGGTATTAAAAATTTGCCTTGAGTTTTAACTGTATAAAAGAATTATACTAGTAATTAATCTAAAGCAAGCAATAACAATAAAAAATAATAAATTAAAAAAATTGACTTAAATCATGATGGAACAAGTAATAATAATAATAGTAATTTATAACTAAAATTAATTAATATATTTGTTTTCCAGTAAATTTAAAATACATTCATTAGCACATGAAGGAGTATTATTTTAATTTCATAACATATTTTCATTGGTCATTATTTAGTTTTTAAATAAATTGAGGTTTTTTCAAAATATTTACTTTTGAATCATTGTTAAATAAAAGCAAGGCTTGTAGTTACCATTTCAATTCGTGTTGCTTCTAACATTCATGCAAATTAAAATTAGATACTTGACATTTTTCTATGCTTTTTGATATTCTGTATAAATAAAAAATAGCCATAAAAACTCAAAAATAATTTCTGTAACATATCTTCCATTTCACTATACATAGCTTAAAAAAAGTCCAGTAATTTTAAAATGTAATATTCCTCTTTTTTTTTTTTTTTTTTTTTTTTTTTGCATAAATATTTTTTTTAAAGTTGTAATTTGCTGTTTTGTTCCATGCTTCTTTAAAAAAATCCAGTGCACTGAATCTGTATCATTGTGGCATGTAATGTAGTTAAGCTAGCGATTTTAGTTTGATTGCTAGGATGGTCTCCTCTTTGCCAATGGGTTGTTCTTTTCTTTCTTTCCCTTTTGGCAGCCTGGCTACTGCAAGCCGCCATCACACTGATGTTTGAACACGATGCCAGGGACACACCAGCGGTTATGTTTTGTGACACAAAAGTACTTTTCAGTTTCTTTCTGCTTAGTTTTGCAGCTGGTTATGTTTTGTTTTTTTTTTTGTGTTTTCCGTCCCGCCAGCTTGGCATCTGTACAGGAGCAGCGTCATACTGGTGCTCATCCTCCCCCTGAGAAGTCATCATCCTCTGAAGGGAATCATTCAGATGGGGAAGTCCATAATATCAAGGTATGTTCACTTGTCTTCATTTTCAAAGAAATTAATTGTTGATTTTGTGAAAACTCTGGAACAACACATTTAAATTATTTAGAAACCCTTTATTTAAAATAAAGGATTTCTAAATAATTTAAATGTATTTGCTCGTTATTTAATGCTATTTGTATGCCTTTTAAGCTTTAAAAAATGAATTTAATGCAGAATTACATATTAAACACAATTCTGTCTCATGTGCATTACCTTAAAATTAAAAAACAAAATTGAACTAAATTAGTATTTAAAAAAGACTTTGCATTAAATGCATATATATATATATATATATTATTTTAGATAAGTTAAATACAAAATTTAAAAATACTTTTTTTATACCTTTTGATATTTAAATGTAAAACAAATCTTCAAATGTTTTTAAGTGCTTTCTAAAGATGTTTGGGTATTTGCAGACAAATGGAAAAGTTAATATTTTGATAAATGTAAGGCAGGCTGCCACAGAATTCTGATAAACCTTTCTACAGCTGATTGCTTTTTTTTTTTTTTTTTTTTTTTTTTTTTTTTTTTTTTTTTTTTTTTTTTTTTTTTTTTTTTTTTTTTTTTTTTTTTTTTTTTTTTTTTTTTTTTTTTTTTTTTTTTTTTTTTTTTTATTTTTTTTTTTTTTTTTGTTTTTTTTTTTTTTTTTTTTTTTTTTTTTTTTTTTTTTTTTTGTAATGATTTCCTATGAATGAATTCAAAAATAATGATGTTTCAATCCAGTATAAAAGACAATTAATCCTTTATCCAACAGATGGAATTTTATAATCAGTTGTGAGCATATGATGCAAGAAATAAGCTACTCAAAAGTTTACATAGAACAGGCTAGTGTTTTTTTAAACAATGCTAAAATAAGAATGTGAAATAAATAAGAGCATGTTGGGAAAGAAAATATTGGTGTAATAAAAAAACATCTATCAATCCTTATATAGATTCATATTCTCTACTAGAAAGTTGCATACTGGATCAGGTACAGAAAAGGAGCAAATTATATGGTTTTACTTTTGTCTTGACAATGTAGAAAGAAGGATTCTTTAATTCGTCTGTTCAAATATCAACTATTACATGGATATTCTTAATTTAAAAAACTTTCAAATAGTCTTTGAAATTGTATGGTCAAAAAAATAATGTTAAAAAAAATTCTTTGAATCCTTATTTGCATAAAGTTTCAATTTCTAAGATAATCTCAATGTGAAACAAAGTGATAATTGTCTAAAAATTTGTCATTTTGATTAATAACAACTTTTAGAAATTAAAAAATATATATATTTCAAATATCTTTTTTTTACATAGAAACTATTTTTAACCCTTCAGCAGTTATGAAATTAAACATTCCCAAAAACATGTGATATGTATCAGTCATATATTTGTAATGCGAGTTGCATTCATTTGCACCCACTGTGGTGCATAATTGGAATGCAAACTGAACTTGTCAATGACCATCAGAAGGTTAATTTAACAACTATTTTCAGGCTCTATTGAAAAAATGTTGCAACAATACAAATAATTTTTTCAAACTTTACTTAAATATATATGAATATAAGTTTTCTTTTCTCCTTCATACATAAGAATCTAATGAAATTTAAATTAAATACTTTATCTTAAATTTGTCTTATTATCTATCACCTTACTATCATGTTAAAATGGTATGATTAATCTTATGTAATAATTTTCATCATAATCACCTGATTATTATTATTATTATTAAGGTCATAAAATATCTTTAAAAATGTATAAATTTCTTATTATTATGAAATAAATAAAAAATTCCTCTTTGTTTTTGTAGGATATACAAAATACATATATTTTTTTCAGGAACTAATCCCCCACCCTGCTAATATTCTTTTTCCAGCATATCATATATCAAAGATCAAGAACAAATTCTGTGGAATTTATGTGTATATACATATATTATAATAAATGTGGTGCTGAAAATATCAATTTGAAGAAGTTTTTTAAAAGCCTTTTCTGTACATGTAGCATGCAGTACAATTTCTTTGTACTGAAGTAATATCTTAATATAAAGTGAACTCGTATTATAATGCAATTTCTTCAAATCTTATCAGCCAAGCAAGTATGGCTGGAAGCGGAGTTCTAACTTCCGGCAGACCATCGAGTAAATATATAACCTACCTCACTTATTGTATCTTCAAACTAAAAAATGTATTTTATTCCAATAAAATAACCAAAGCATGTTGATTTTATAAGTCAATAATCTTTACATTTTTCTTATTGCATGTTATTTATTCCCCAATAACTTTTATTCAAAGCATGGTTCAGCACATTTGTCTGTGATGAAGTTTAATACTGGTCATAAGGAGAAGAAATCAGGTGTTCAGATTTATAGGACATAAACAACTCCAAACTATGAAAAGTGAACACTGTACCAAAGGTACCCACTTTAATTCTATGGGTAAATTCCACACCATTCAGTCTTGCCTTCTTAATCCAGTTGTTAAACCGTACTCCATCAAACGATTTTCCTTTTTAAATATATGTAAAAAATTTTGTAATCTTTCAGAGAAGTTTGTTTATATATAAATGGAAGTAAATGATTGCAATTAAAACTATAAAGCAGCATCCTGTTAGCATGGTTGTAAAATCATTCGAATGACAGAGAATGCCTGGATGTTTTTAAGTGTGTAGTGTCTTTGTGGCATAAAGATACTTAAAGCACTGTTGAGCTGAAAGCCATCATGAGAACTCTGTAAAATTTCCAGTCCCTGGGGTGTTCTTCAAAACAGGGAAAAATTAAAAATTTGCTATGCAAATTAGTGATGTTACCTATACCTAAGCCAAGACAAGCAGAACCCTTGTTTCTTTGCAATGATAAAAATCAATGATAAAATGCTGTCTGTCGTAGCTGGGCTTGGGATCAAATCCAGAAAAGGTAGAGATGTTTGTAAATGTAGTGTCTTTGTAAATGTAGCATGGGACCATTGACCAAAGGTCTTCTCAATAGATTCATGGAATGGGAAAAGTGCTAAGCGATCTTTAAATGCCTTTATCACTGATAATGCTATTTTCTTCCTCTTAGGCAGATTTAAATATAGCCATATTTTGCCTATAAGATGAAGGGGTAAAGATTCTTGATCAGAATTTGACATCTCTGGATTGACTTTTCCAGATCCTAAAAACATTAGATTGTGAACAGATTTATCTGTTTATGAATATGTTCAGAGAAGTAATTTAATTGCATTAAACATGTAAGGAAAACTATAAATACTGTTGCATTTTTCCTTTTCTGACACCAGTTGTTACGTTATTTTCTTCCCTCATGTTCGTACGGGGTTCGTAGATTTGGAGTGAATAACAACTACACTTGATGAAGTATCGAAACATACTTTATTTACCAGTATTGTCAGGACAGCTCCAAAACTCTTTTACAGTCATCGAAGATCTATTATAAACACGCTGGAACAATCAGCGACACAGCCTTCACACTGTCAGGCAATAACGGTGGACAGCTTCCTGCAAAGCACCCGACTCTACTTTCCGGACTACAGCTCCTGACTCTGCTTGGTCATTCTCGGAACTCCACGTACTCTCGAGACTCTCCACGCTACAACTCGCGATGCACTCGACGACACACAAGCACAGCTCCCGACTCTTCGGTCCAGTCGTTCCCGAAGCTCAACATGCTCTCTCGACGATACACTAACAGATTCCTTCGGTGCACTCGACGACCCACTCGGCACTCGCTGCCCGGCTGTCAACTCGATTGACTCGCTAGGTGAGCCACCAACTCGATACTGACTCTCTCGCACTCTATGCGAGGCACACACACTGACTGACTGCGGACCAGCAGGGTTTATATAGCTTTCGGCTTGTGTTCGAGAACATTCTGGGCTAAACCGGTAAGAATTCGTTCCAGAAGGTTCTCCATTTTGTCGCCAAATGGACGATTTCTCGCCAAATGTGGCAACCTTGCCTTCCCTTGACATTTTATGGCAACCATAAAACTGCTTTGCGGGGAAGCGATCTTACAGCGCCTGTACATATCATAACAATACTTTATTGTTGGCATTTTTTGTAATACTGAATCAGAGGCAGGTTAAAAAATGGGCATTACAATAAAAAAATGGTGTATAGTTGTAATTAAGATTGTAAAGGAATAATAAGTATGATAATTTATCTGACTATTAAATTTTTTTATATGTACTCAAGTACCTACATCACGATTTTTAAAATGCCTTGCATTTACAATAAAAATTTTTTTATAAAATTGCGCATCTGTTATGCTAATAAAACATTTTGCTTGACGTGCTTTCAGAATGTCTGTATAGTATGAAATATCAGCATATGTGCACGTGATATGTGCATAAATTGACAAAAGTTTGATTACTTTTTAAATTGCTATGAAAACTTATTTATCACTATCTATGAAATCATATTTATCAACAATGAAACTTATTTATCACTATCTTAATCTATGAAAACTTATTTATCACTTATGTCTATGCTCTTTATCTTATTATTTTATTATCCTCTTCTTGTTATCTGTGAATTTTCTACAGACTGTCATAGGAAACTACCTGGGCACTGGCCTTAATTTTTTTCAATGATTTGTGCACTCAGTTCTTGAATATTTGTGGTCATGAGTATCAAACAGTATTTCTAAAAGAACTCTTTTTAAAGTATGTATTTATGTACATGTGTATACAATATTTTCATTATTGTACACATGTTTGTAAGTGTAATACATTTTATCTTCTAGATATTAAATTAAAATTACTAAAGAGAATTTTAAATATTACTTACAAGAAAGTAAAACTTGATGTTGTAACTATATGTAATGCCAAATATTTAAAGCAAAGTATCTGTTATGCTTGCTTAATTAACTGTAATGGGGATAAAATATGATTAGCTATGCATAAATATTTTTTTACGTTACTGCAATGTTTTGTAGTAAGAATAAAGAAAGATTTTTCATTGCTGGAATTAGTTTTGATATTTTATTGGAGTAGTTCTCATATGTGAGATTT